TGGAGTAAGCTCATATGAAGGAAGGGAAGTTAAGGTTGGTACAGGGAAAGTTGTTTATTAGAAGGGAGTGTGCATATAAAGGGTGAAGTGTTGGAAATATTAATAACTATATCTTTTGTTGTCTGATTTTTTCTTTCTTTTTTTCATCCGATGCCAGCCACACAATCCATGTGTAAAAGTCCGAGTTAGCATGTTATAGGTTGTCTTAGTAGAATAGCTAATCCAGTATAAAATTGGAAACATGAGTCTGAGTGGTGAGCGTAGGAAGATAATCTATATCACAGATTGATTGACTTATGCTCAATCATAGAGAGCCCGATACATACAAAATGTTCTGCCCCACAAACACGGGTGGATTGAAGTCATCGCCCTCACCATCAATGCTTGCTGGTCAGTAACTCCACCCTCCCTCCTTTTGTGATGTTAGGCTCATTTAAGCTTATTTTTGGATATATATCATACCTCACACAATCCTCTGTTTCACAATCTGTTGGAAAACACTATTTCCATAAGTACCATTTTACAAGCTTATTAGGCAGTTACAAATTATGAACTGTGGGTAAGGCATCGATGCAGTGCTTTAATTGACTATAGTATAAAGTATAGTTTGCCTATTAAATTATAAGCATTAAGAGGGGTGTAATGTGGGATAGTAGTTCAATAAAACGGGCGGAAAAGTATAGAAGTGTATGGGTTGTAGATTAGGTAACGAGTGGAGGAATAATATTAATTGCTAGTCAACATGGTGTGCAGAAGAGTAAAAAGCAAATAAGCAATAAACAAGGATAGACTCACACTAACTTGGTGCTGATGTTCTTTTGTGTTGTCCTAACCAGTTGATGGGTAACAGGCTTCAAAGATGCAGTTCGATCGGTAGTAGGCAGTCGATTGCGCGGTTCTCTTGACTTTTTAGGGTGATAGTGAGTGTCTCTTAGCGACCGAGTTTAGTTGGACAGTATCAGCAGGTCCAGTGAGTTACCTGTCTACTTTAAGTGAAGAAATAGAGTGGGAAAAGTAACTAAAACAACTGCAAAGTAGGAAAAATAAGGCAAACTGAACTTGGAGTCCATTTTGGTTTAGACATGTAGAGAGCCTATGATATCTGAGTGGGGCGCAGATCTGTTCGTATGTGTTAGATCAGTGCAAATGAGGGCTTGATCAAGCAGCCTTACAAACGTATGTAATTCATCTGCCATGCGTATTTCGGAGGGGAGACTGTTCCAAATTATTGCATACTTGATGAGGAAGAAGTTTTCCCGAGTTTTTGATCTGTATTTCTCAACTTTGACCGTAGATACTTTGTTTCGAAGTACATATTCATGTGAATTTCGGGCAAGAACTATATTACATGTTGAATAAGTAAGGTTTTTGAGTAGTTTGAAGTATAGAATCAAATTAGACCTAAGCCTTCTCTTCCAAAGGGGTGCTATTCTTAGGATTTGGCATCGGGAACTGTAGTCAACGACTGATTCAGCCCTAAGTATTTTGCGGGTGAAGTCTCGTTGTATTCCTTCCACCTTTAGTATATCAGATAGGCGTAGGTTGGAAAAGAAGAACGAGCAGTATTCAGCGATAGGTCTTACACAAACTTTATAAAGAAGGATTTTGGATTCATTTTGATAGAAATTACGGAGAATGAAGCCAAGCAATTTCCGCATTTTAGATACTTTGGCTGAGATGTGTTCAGAGAAATTAGGACGTTGTGAGTAGTGTACCCCTAAGTCAGTTACTGATGCCAGTCTGGACAGTGTGTTGTTGTTAATTGTTAGTTTTATTTTTAGAGACGTGTCTCCTGTACATAACCAGCCGCATTTCTTTGTGTTGAGCTCTAACCTCCAGAGTTTGCACCAGTCGTCTACTATGTTGAGTTCATGTTGGATTGTTTGCATAGTACTACGTACATCCCAAGTGTCGGTTTTATAGATGACTTTTAAGTCATCGGCATAGAGGTAGGTCTTACCTGTGCTAAAGCATTTGCATATACTGTTGATGTATATTATAAAGAGCGATGGACCCAAGACACTACCCTGCACAACACCACTGGATATTGGTCGAGGTGTAGATGTTGTAGAGTCAATCTTGTTTATTTGGTATCTGTTCGTAAGAAAAGACTTGATCCATTGCAAAAGGGGATTTATAATTCCAACTGACTTAAGTCTGTTGATTAGAAGATTATGAGGTACTTTATCGAAAGCTTTCTTAATATCGAAATATAGTATAACCACCAGTTTATTTTGATCACGTATGCGAGTAACCTCGTTAAAGAAGTCTATCAGACATGTACTGCACGACCTTGTCCTAATGAAGCCGTGTTGTGACGGGTCTATTAGATTTTCCTTAAGTAGGTGATCAGATAGTTGATTTTTTATCACTTTTTCCATTATGCGTGATATAACTGGGGTGATATTTATAGGTCTATAGTTTTCGACCAGGTTTCTCGGTCCGGATTTGTGTTTTGGAAGAACATACGTTACCTTCCAGGTTTTCGGATATGTACCTGTCTCTACGGATAATGTGTATATTTTGAGTAATAGCGTCTGTATGTCCAAACCTGACATTTTATAAAGGATTGAGGGGATGCCATCGGCACCAGAACTCACATTTGGCTTAAGGGTTTTAATGGCGGTATGTATACTCCCTATGTCGAAGTTTATGGTACTAAGATAATTTTTGCAGGTGCACTTTGTGTTGATATCTGTGACATGAGATGTATTCTCATTGTGGGAAAACTATTCACTTAATAGTTCACATATGATGGTTTGGTCATTATACGTCACTCCATCGTGCAGTAGGGAGTGAATGTTGTGATCTTCGTTCTTTCTTATGCGAGGAGACGGCATAAGGCATGGGTTTTAGATGCAGCAGTGAGCGCAGTATGTTCCTCTGCCTGCTTATGCTTGTCGTGTTGACTTTGTACTCCGTCGAGTACAGAATATATCTGGTGCAGGGCACTGAAGTCTTTTGATATATAGTACGTCCTTTTCAGTTTACGCAGTTTAGACCTAGTCTTTTGGTTTATGTAGGAAGTAGTTGTCTTAAAAGCAACTTTAAAGGGTATAGTAGTGTCTAGTGCAGATTTGATGGTGGTATTAAATATTTCTAATGTTTCTAAGAGGTTATCACTGGTAAAGAAACTGCTCCAGTCAGAGTGCTTTATTAGAAATTGAAAGTTTTCCCAGTCAGCGTTTGCATAGTCTCTATATTGGAAACGTGTATTTATTGTCTTTATTTTGTTGCACATGGCAAGAATCGGAAGGGTGCAGAGGACTATTTTATGATCGCTGTTGTGAAACTTTTCGCCAACCACTATTGATGTTGATGTGACATTATGACAGAATATAAAGTCAAGAATGTTGTGATTTCGTTTAGGCAGGTGTACATGTTGTTGCCAACCGTGTATGTCTAAGGACCTAAGTATGCCTTCAAAGCACAATGGGCCAGAGTGTGTCGTCCAGTTAATGGTGGGTAGGTTGAAATCACCACAAACAATTTTGTAAGTGAAGTCAAGCGAGGCAGCCTGAGCAAATGACTCACTTATAATTGTGTCAGTTGAGCTAGGTGTGTTAGGAGCTCGATATATGCATCCGATTAGTATTTTGCATTCACGAGTGTGCACAGTGAGCCATATCGAATCAGGAAGTTTGCTGAGGATGTTGTCGCTATAGGTTTCCGCTTTCAGATTTTTAGATACATAAACAAGACAACCACCACCCTTCTTGTTGACTCGATCACAGCGGAAGAGCTCATAGGTGTCTATTTGTAGATATGTGTCTGTGATATCGGAGGACAGCCAACTTTCCGTTATCAAAACAAGTGAGGGGTTGTTTAAAAGTAGTAGGGTGCGTAGATGTGTCATCTTACTTTGTACTGATCGAGCGTTGATTAACATAAGTGTCAGGTTCGGTGAGTGTTTGTCTAGTAGAAGTGTATGTTGCATACCCAGTGGATCGTCTGTTTCGCCATGTGCTAAAGAAGGATTGGGAGTGTGGACTCCATATTGATGCGCATTTAGTTTATTACCAATAGGGTTAATGCGAGAAAAGTAGTTGGAAGTTAGTTTGGTGAAAGGAGTATGTTTAAGAGTGAAAGGTAGAGTTGGATGGTTAGGTAGTGTGTTCGGGGAGTGATCAGGAGGTACAGTCAAGGAGCTTTTAAGACTAGAGACAGCTGTCGTTATCCGTCATGTCGAGTATATTATATATTAAAAATTAATATGAAAATATACGACAGACGTGGGTAGATAAACAATAGACTCACCGAATTGCCTTCTTTGGAAGATTTGACCGAGGTTGATACGTGTTCCAAGATTTGGCTCACCAATTGTAGCGTGGTGTCGAGTTGAGCTGAACTATGAACACCGCTACAAGACTACGTGCCAATCAACCAATAAGATCCCCGCAGGCCAATGTCAGAAGACAGATGATGGCTATAGTCGAGATGTATTTGTTGGCGATCTCGTGGTATCGAAAGAATACCGAGATCGTGCCAAAGGAGTACAAGAGTGGTTACTGAGCGTAACCGAATTCGTACAAGTTCAAAGTCAACGGGAGAGTAAGTAAGTGTAATGGCTGTCATTAGCACAGTTAAACAAACGAGCACAGTAAAACAGTCACTGGTAAAATTGGTTATAATAATAACTGTATTCATTGAACCAATCGCGTTCTGTTGACAAAAGTAGGTCACTACAACACAATATGTGGAGTTTTTTTACCTTAAGTAATGAAACATTCCATTTGGAATATGGGATTCAAGCATTGATTCTTTGTTTCAAGTACGGAGCAAATATACAAGAGCGAAATCAACGACGAGGGACCAAAATGGTTAAAAGTCTCCTGGTATATCCCATGAAAAGAAATTGCGATACCTCGACTTATTTCCGTTACCTTACCGCAGATTACAGGGTGACCTAATATTGGATTATCGTATACTGAAAGATGTTTTACTTTGTCCCTCAATCTGGGAATGATCATCTGAGAGGACATTAAAAAAAGTTAAAATACTGGGATTTGATCGTTTACGTCTGGAGTCCCGTTCCTCACATCACGTAGTGAATCGCCATAATTCCCCACAAGAATAAGTAGTATTAGCACCTTCTGTCAATACTTTTGAAACTAGATCTGACCTGTTCAGTGTGACGAATTATAAAGATTAATATAAATCGATAGACCGTCTATCCTGTACAGCGCGTGTTTGGTCTCCTGCGTTACACTTGCCCATAGGCGTTTAACGCTGGATAGTAACCATCGTTTCTGAGAAAGCACTGTTCTACAGTAACCTAAACCAATGAACGAGAGTGTTGGCTTCTACATTCCCCTTGGTGTTGTCTCCGCCTTTTGGTTTCTTGTTGGTGTCCTGGGCCCTGTTTTTGTACCGAAAGGACCTAGCAAAATGTAAAACTAAATATATTACTCATCATAAAGTTTTTCAGGCTCTTGTCTGTATCGATTGTGCTTACTGCTGTCTGTTGTTATTTGTTGTAAGTTCCTTGCACTAAAACTCATGAAGTACTAGTTGGATAGGATTTTACCTTGCACAGTATCATCCTTTTTTCGGACCTTCATTGAAAACAGGATCAATAAGAATTATCCAACAGCAGTGGACGGTAATAGCTTTGATAATTTACGCAACTATAAACACGGTTTTTTTTCTTGTTAATAAAGTTGGGGACGTCGAAGATATTGTCTTATGCGGTTAAATAATTGTAGTCGCCAACAGAAATTTCTCGAGCAAATAAGTGTGTACTACTTTTTTCAGCCAGTTGCCAGCTGTATTTCTACCTATGATAATTCCTATGTCATCTAATCGTAGTAATGTCAGCAGTATGTCTTCACTTCTGGACTTATCTCTTCAAGCGATCTGGCTAACATATCAGGATTTCCCGAGTTGGTTTTCAAACCCAAATAACGTTTCACAGTCATGAAAAAATCAAACCACTGCCTAGATTGCAGACAGATATAGTAACTGATTTATAAGTCGGACTTGCGGATCACTATCTAGATGAACTTTTCCCCATTGATATAGCTGGTCGAAAACTGGCTCCGGGTAGACTTATTTGCTTCGTGTTGTTTCATAGATAAACTGGTAGATAAGTAAGTGAGAACAATTACAGGTAGTTTTTGACTGCATTATTTTCTTGTTATCACTCACGGATGTGTTTAGGTTAGATTTTCTGCTCATAGTTCGTGTATTTTGTGGTGAGCACTTATTTTAGACTTGGCTATGAGAAATGTAAGGGATAATTTTCAACATATAAAGTTTTAATTTCTATCAGAATGAATTGTTACGTGTTGTGAATTGATAAAACATGACTTCATATGCATTATTTTGATGCTGTAATTCATTAACCAAATATAAATTTATGTATTTAGCTTTCAGTGATACCCATGTGAGTGTTAGTGACACTCTATATCTGCCTAAATCAAAGTAGGTAGGTTTAAGTCCAAGCATGTAGTCTATTAGATGGATCTCAAATGCCTCATTTACTTGACCGTTTCTCTATTATTTTATTGAAGTAAGATATTCCCACTCGTTTATAAAATACTTCGTCCACATATGCTTAATTATGTTCATACTGTTACATAGCTTTTCAATCGGAACGATGTAGTAACCGTCTTTACTAATACCATTCTAAAAACTAACATTCATTATTTCTAATAAAAAGCTAAAACTGACCTGATAGAAACACTCGAGCGATTTAACGAAGTTCACCCATCTAACAACCAGAGAAACAATTTTTTAGGTACATGGAACGTCCGGACAATGTGGGAGACCGGGAAGACCAGTCAAATAGCAACGGAAATGAGGAGATACAACTTGGCAGTACTGGGAATCAGCGAAACCCATTGAAACCAAGCTGGACAACAAAGGTTAAATACGGGAGAGATGCTGCTATACTCCGGTCACGAAGAAGAAGATGCTCCACACACTCAGAGAGTTGCTCTAATGCTGTCCAAAGTAGCGCAAAATGCACTTGTATGATGGGAATCTCACGGATCCAGAATCATCAAAGCATCATTCAAAACAGAGAAGGAGGGGATCACAATAAACATTATTCAATGTTATGCACCCACCAATGATAGCAACGACGACGTTAAGGATCAATTCTATGAGAGGCTGGAATCAATCATAGAGAAGTGCCCAACAAAGGACCTGACCATTCTGATGGGTGATTTAAATGCCAAAGTCGGATGTCAATCCACCAGCGACGGAAGAAATCAGAATGGCCATCAGACAAATCAAGAGCGGGAAAACAGCAGGACCCGACAATATACCAGCTGAAGCACTAAAGTCAGACATCAAAGTAACTACAAACATGCTTCACCTTCTATTCAAGAAGATTTGGATGGAGGAAGAAGTGCCGATGGACTGAAAAGAAGGACACCTCATCAAGGTTCCAAAGAAAGATCTGAGCAAGTGTGGAAACTACAGAGACATGACACTACTGTCAGTACCAGGGAAAGTCTTCAACAATGTTGCTGAACCGGATGAAAGACGCAGTAGATGCCCAACTTCGAGATCAATAAGATGGATTCCGTAAGCATCGGTCGTGCACAGACCAAATTGCGACACTACGGATCATCGTCGAACAATCAATTGAGTGGAATTCATCACTGTACATCAAATTTATTGATTATGAAAAGGCATTTGACAGTGTAGATAGGAGAACGTTATGGAAACTTTTTCGACACTACGGAGTTCATGAGAAGATTGTCAACATTATCCGGAACTCATACGACGGACTACAGTGCAAAGTAGTGCATGGAGGACAGCTGAAAGACGCATTCCAGGTAAGGACCGGAGTCAGACAAGGCTGTCTATTCTCCCCCTTCCTCTTTCATCTGGTGGTTGACTGGATTATAAAGACCTCGACATCTGAGGGAAAACACGGCATGCAATGGACAGCTCAGAACCAACTAGACGATTTGGACTTCGCATATGACCTATACCTCCTATCTCATACACGAACAAATGCAGATAAGGACAGCCAGTGTAACATCAGTCTCTGCATCAGTAGGCCTCAACATACACAAGGGGAAAACCAAGGTCTTCAAATACAACACGGAGAACAACAATCCAATCACTCTTGATGACGAAACTCTGGAAGATGTAGAATCCTCCACATATCTGGGAAGCATCGTCGATGAACAAGGAGGTTCAGATGCAGACGTAAAGGCGAGGATTGGCAAAGCAAGGGTCGCATTCCTTCAATCGAAGAACATATGGGACTCGAAACAACTTTCAACCAATATCAAAGTCAGAATCTTCAATACGAACGTCAAGGCAGTTTTACTGTACGGAGCTGAAACTTGGAGATCTACTAAAACCACCATCAAGAAAGGTACAAGTATTTATAAATAGTTGTCTAATCAATATACTCAACAACCATTGGCCGGATACCATCAGTAACAGCCATCCGTAGGAGAGAACAAACCGGTCTCCAACTGAAGAGGAAATTAGGAAACGACGATGGAAATGGATAGAACATACATTACGCAAATCATCAGACTGCATCACGAGGCAAGAGCTAACTTGGAATCCTGAAGGGAAGTGGAAAAGTGGAAGGCGAAAGAACACATTATGTCAGGAAATAGAAGCTGATACGATAAGGATGAATAAAAACTGGAAAGAGCTGGAAAGGGTTGCTCAGGATAGGGTTGGATGGAGAATGCTAGTGAGCGGCCTATGCTCCTTTACGAGGAGTAACAGGCGTAAGTAAGTAAGTAACCCACCCATGAAGTTCACATGTGACGTAGAAAATAGAGGTAGAATAACTTTTTTAGATATTCTGCTTACAAATAGAAAAGATGGGTCACTAAGACGAAACTTAAACAAGAGAACTGCTTGGACTGATCAGTGTACAAATTTTCTTAGTTTTATCCCTCTACAATATAAAAGGAACCTGATCAAGATATTACTATATAGTGAAGACCATATGCTCTCTAGATATGGTTGAAGAGGAAGCAAAGGCACTGCGTACTACCCTACTTAAGCTTATCTTATTTGCACTTATTATTATTATTATTATTATTATTATTATTATTATTATTATACTCTCGTACACTGATTCATGATCATCGTTGTTCTGCTCTTTTTATACACACTTTACATTCTCTATCTCTTCACAACGTTATTGTTATTGGGAGGGGGGCACATATGTATTTGGTGCCTCCCTCGTACCAATATTTGTATTCAAATAAATAATGATTTGAATTGACTTTAAATTATAATTGGTAAATCGCATGCTGTAATTTTATGCGATATACTCTGCCTTAAAACTGGCCAGTGTTTTAGATTAATAATTTGCATATCTAATTGTAGGACCTAGAAATAAATTATTGAAAAGAATATTCTTCGTTCATATATCTGTGTTTTAATATGATGGGAATTTCTTATTAATTAAAATATTATGACAAGTTATTATTTTTGAATAGGCCATACTTTACATTCTTCATATGATAAAATAAAATGTATTCAATTGGAAATACATGTACACTTTTATTTTGGATAACTGTCCGTACCTAAATAGAATCAGTGGAAAATATCAATGTACTGTAATAATGACGTAGCATAAAATAATACATGGTAAATCAATGGATTGATTATTACTTCATAATCTGTTCGCTCTCTTTGTTCTTTTAGTTTAGTTGTCTTTGTCATAATAGTCCGGTTACAGTTCTGGTTATAATTTATCACCCTTAAACTACTCATAATGTTTTTTTTCTCAATATTTATCTATTTCAGCGCAAATAGGTTTAAGAAGAACCTATCTCAATAAGTAGAATTCTCTGTTACAATTCAGTTGATTGTTTACTTTACCGTAAATTATTTATAAAGTAGAGGAATGAATTATCTTTTCATTTTTTTTGTTGTTATTTTTGATTCACTTCCATGGAAAAAAAAACTCAGAGAACTGATGTTTTTATGCTAATTTTTTAAGTTTCTATTTTCTACTTTGTTTATTGATCGCCTTTTTTTTGTTTTTAAAATATGATTGATTATAAGGTTATTAATTGATTTTTCTTGATTGAATAATAAATTTTCTGATCTATCGATTACTAATAATAGTGACTTGTTGAAATATCTTTGCTTTTTGAATGTAATTAGATTTGCTCCGTTTACTTTCTGAGGATAGGATTGTGTTCTGTAGTCAATATATTTTAAATATGTATAATCTGGGTGTCATTGTATTAGTGTTATAACTTGTGACTGCCGATTAGAGAGCAGTGACTTATCGATCGGATCAATGACGCGTAAATCCCGTACGAGCAGTTTAGATTCCTGATTGATCCTACTTCCCGCCTAGCCCAGCCAGTTAAGTTCAAAACGTCAAACCGAATCTCTGCAATATGAATCATTATATTTCAAACATACTGAGTTTATATACCAATCAAACAAACCACAACGCACCAATAAATTATGAAACAACATTTGTACAAGAATTAGCCAGATGTGACTGTGAATGAGGGAGGTAGTGACTAATAGACGGAATAATTCAAGAATGGAAAATCGTATAATAACAGTTCATAGGTTAAAATAAAGTTGATGATAAGAGAGACATGAATATGAATAGTTTAGCTAATTAACAATTGTACGATAAAAATATACGTTTATAATAATAAGGCGTTTTTTTATCTTACATTGTTGTGGATTGGTGATTGCTTTTCTACACATGACATTTAATTTACTGTTACAGATAAGAAAATGTCTATTGGAAGTAAGTGTTACAAAGGTGTTAGGAAGATACAACTAAGATAATAAGTAAACTGGATCTCAAAAGTTCATATAAGTACTTGGAAATACCATACAACAGTGTGAGTCCATTAATGACAATAGGGTCGGAAATGATTAAAAATTAAGTCAGTTACTGAAAATTACTCAGTAGTATGATGTAATATAAGAAAAGGAATACGACAAGAAGGAAATAATATTAAGGAATACTGGAGGAACACACTTGAACCTACGAAATTTCATTTGTATAAAAGGTTAATTTATCAAATAGTAGAAATGCGCATATATATTTGGTGCCCCCCTGTACCAATATTTATGTGTTCAAATAAATAAAAAAATAATAAAAAGAAATGCGGTGGAAATAATTGTTCACTTCAGAATGTCTGAATATACTTAGTAATACGACTTGTCATTTAAAAACACAGTAGATGAATATCAATCACACTAACTATGCCAACTTGTCATTGACGATGTTTCGTATGAAATCTGTTCAAAGATCAAACAGATTTATGATACGTGCTTATAAGTATTTTAAATCATCAAATGTGGATTTCCAAACAGTATAAACTAAAAATCTAGATGAACATACTCTTCAAGTCAACATTGCTTTCATCCAAGATAAAACATTAAAAAATATATTAAAGATTTATAATGTTGTTGTAGTTTACACAAACACTATTTTATAATCTTTTCGTTAAGGTTTCATACGTTACTGATATTGATATATAAAAAGAGATGTTGTTCGTTCGTATTACGGTGTAGTTAACCATTTCTAAAAATAACATTTCGAATTCCTTATGGATTTATTTATTATCGCGTTCTTTTGGTTTGAATGATTTTTTCTGGTTGGCGCTATTTTTAGCCAGTTAGTTTTCTACGGGATGGGGTCGCTAACCCCATGCCAAACCCTCCTCCTTTATCTGGGCTTGGGACCGGCAGTAGCCCCTAAGGGGCTCCAGGCGGAGTTGGACAACAACGACTAGCTTCAGGGGAGCTGCTGTTATACTCCGAACATGAACAAGAAAATGCCCCACATACACAAGGAGTTGCATTGATGCTGTCCAAACAAGCACAAAATGCACTTATAGGATGAGAATCTCATAGACCAAGGATCATCAAAGCCTGCTTCAAAACAGATAAAGAGAGAATTACAATGTACGTCATCCAATGCTCTGCGCTTACCAACGGCTACAATGAAGACGTTAAAGATCAATCATACGATAGGCTGCAGTCAATCGTCGAGAAGTGCCCAACAAAGGACGTGACCATTCTGATGGGTGATTTAAATGCCAAGGTTGAAATTGACAACACCGGATATGAAGACATCATGGAACAACTCGGACTGGGAGAAAGGAACGAAAATGGTGAGAGATTTGCAAACCTATGTGCCTTCAATAAACTGGTCATAGGCGGCACTATATTCCCACATAAACACACTCACAAAACCACATGGACTTCACCGGATCACACTACGTAGAACTAAATTGACCATATCTGCATCAACATAAAAATCAGGAGGACGATGGAGGACGTGAGAACAAAGAGAGGAGCTGATATAGCATCAGATCATCACTTTCTGGTCGCCGAGATGAAATTGAAACTCAAGAAGCACTGAATAACGGGGCGGATAGCATCACAAAAGTTTAATACGGCTTTTCTTCAGGTTACTGACAAACTCAACAAATTCAAGATAGCCGCAGCAATATGTGCCAGGCCTTTCACGATCTATTATATAGAGAGTGTGAACTACTATGGAGAGCAACTGGAAAGGGATAAAGGAGGCAATCACTTCAACATATCATGAGGTTCTGGGCCATAAGAAGCATCATCACAAGGGATGGATCGCTGTTGATACACTGAATAAGATTCAAGAAAGGAGGAACAAGAAGCCAACAATCAGTATCAACCGAATAAAAGCAGAAAAAGCCAAGACACAAGCTGAATACACAGAAGTAAACAAGCAAGTGAAGAGGAGCATCAGAACCGACAAACTTAAATGTGTGGAAGATTTAGCAATGACGCTGGAAAAGGCTGCAAGAGAAGGAAACATGAGACAACTGTATGAGATAACAAAGAAACTCTCTTGAAATCACCATAAACCAGAACGACCAGTGAAAAGCAAGGAAGGCAAGATAATCACCAACACTGAAGAACAGCGAAACAAGTGGGTAGAACACTTCAAAGAACTCTTGAAGCGACCAGCTCCACTGAACCCACCCAACATCGCAGTAGCACCCACGGACCTCCCAATCGATGTTGGCCCACCGACAATTGGAGAGATCAGCATGGCCATCAGACAAATCAAGTATGGCAAAGCAGCAGGACCAGACAACATTCCAGCAGAGGCACTGAAAGCAGACGTGACAGTAACTGCAAGGATACTCCACATTCTCTTCAGAAAGATTTGGGATGAAGAACAAGTACCCACAGACTGGAAAGAAGGACACCTGATCAAGGTGCCGAAGAAAGGCGATCTCAGCAACTGTGACAACTACAGGTGAATCACTCTTCTTTCAATACCAGGAAAAGTCTTCAACAGGGTATTGTTAAACAGGATGAAAGACTCCATAGACGCCCAACTTTGAGACCAGCAGGCAGGATTCTTAAGGATCGGTCGTCTACGGACGAAATCGCAACACTACGGATCATTGTGGAACAATCAGTTGAACGGGATTCATCACTCTACGTCAACTTTATTGACTACGAGGAAGCATTTGATAGCGTGGACATGACAACACTATGGAGGCTTCTTCAACACTACGGCGTGCCTGAGAAGATATACTATATCATATGGAATTCCTATGATGGATTAAACTGCAAAATTGTGCATGGAGGACAGTTGGCAGACTCGTTCGAAGTAAAGACTGATGTCAGGAAAGGTTGCTTACTCTCACCCTTTGTCTTTCTCCTGGTGATCGACTGGATCATGAAGACGTCAACATCTGAAGGGAAGCATGGGATACAGAGAACAGCTAGAATGCAGCTGGACGATCTAAACTTCACAGATAATCTGGCTCTTCTATCGCAAACGCAACAACAAATGCTGGAGAAGACGACCAGTGTAGTAGCAGCCTCAACAGCAGTAGGTCTCAGCATACACAAAGGGAAAAGCAAGATTCTCCGATACAACACAGCATGCAACAATCCAGTTACACTTGACGGAGAAGGTTTGGAAAATGTGAAAACCTTTACATATCTGGGCGGAATCATTGATGAACACGGTTGATCTGACGCAGATATGAAGGCGCTGATCAACAAAGCAAGAGCAGCATATTTACAACTGAAGAACATCTGAAACTCAAAACAACTGCCAACACCAAGGTCAGAATTTTTATTGCAAATGTGAAGACAGTTCTACTGTATGGGGCGGAAACCTGGAGAACTACGAAATCCATCATCCAGAAGATACAGGTGTTTATTAACAACTGTCTACGCAAAATACTTCGGATCCGTTGGCCACACACTATCAGCAACAACCTACTATGGGAGAGAACAAACCAGCTCTCAGCGGGGGAAGGAATCAGTAGGAAGAGCTGAAAGTGGATAGGACAAACACAAGGCAAGCCCTCACATGGGATCCTCAAGGCCGAAGGAGGAGAGGAAGACCAAAGAACACATTACGCTGAGAAATGGAAACAGACTTGAGAAAAATGAACAACGTTTGGATAGAACTGGAAAAGAAGATCCGGGATAAAGTGGGTTGGAGAATGCTGGTCGGCAGCCTATGCTCCACTGGGAGTAACAGGCGTAAGTAAGTAATCTATTATCACTCTTTTTGTGGTCGTACTCATGACAGCTTATTCCATCAATATTCTTTAGTAAATGTAATCAGAGCTCCGAAATTTAGTTGGTGGGTTTCTGCTCTCTAGATGCACATGTGACAACAAGTCAATCATCATAAGATACCACAAGGGATCCTGGCCTTAACGAAACATCGACAGTTAATGTTTATATATGTCATTCTGAAGTTCTTGTCTTCAACGATGATATGAAGCTTGAAATAAATTTGACTGACCAACACTCGTGTATTATGTTGTGGATATAAGATTCCTCCAAAGAGAAATCCAGTAGTAATTGACAGTTATGTAGATCGAAATATTATATGCATCCTAGATGTGTCGTCAATGTTCATTTCATGTTGATATCGTTGGCAATCGTGGAAGTTTCCTCATACTGAAATCCGTTCGTTGAACATCCATTATTTTGTGTTAGTACATCGAGATTGTGTTGTGACAGAATGTTCCTGAAAACGTCTGAGACACGTTTTATTTTGGCAGATATTCTATAGTAATGCCCTGATGTTGCATTCAATTTCAACTATATTACTGGGATGAATACATTGATTTTCTTTGGAAATGTTTGAAGACATTTTGCATCGGCTTCTTGCATTCAATGATTTGATCAGCCCCAACGTGATTGAAACAAGGGATCCAAAATGTCATCTTGTTACGATAGTTCTCCGAAATATTATCAAGTTATAAAATATCATTAGAATGTCCAACTTTAGGTTTAAATTTGTAATTTCTGGTTTACAAAAGCGTAACAGTTTTTTGAGATGGTTATGTGTGTTTAGACCAATCAGTAGTTGATTTCGGATTGTCGTTAATATCTACATACTTACGCCTGTTATTCCTCGAGGAGAAGCATCAGAGTTCTCCATCAAACTCTGTCCTGAACAGTCGTTTCCAGTTTTTTTTTAAACAT